AAATCAGGTAATCTTTACTATTTCTCCCTCTTCTGATGGGCTCTTTCATAACATAGCCCAACGATTTGTACAGGTTAAAACTGCACTCGGTTGAATGCATGATCAAGTTTTCTTCGCTTAATGCAAAATTTATCTACTGCATTCAATTTGAGGGTAAGATGAATAAAACCAAACATACATAAAAGCAAATTCTCAGTAATTCCCAACCAAGACTTTCTTCGGTAAGTTAGGCAAAAAGTGGCACCATATCGTCCCAGACCCAACCCCATTGTCATCCCCCCAAGGCATATGAATTTTTTCACATGTATCATTACGTGCACATGTGCACAATATGATTCATCCATTTTTTGATAAATTAAACCAAAGAAACAAGCAAGAAAATTATTGCACACCTCTGTTCCAGCAGCAAACTTCTCAAACTCAAACACTCCCATTGGTCCATTCCAAATAACAGTTTTGGTAGAGTCCAAAGCATCATTAAATGTCTTAATAGAGTCCGGTCCAATATCTAATCCCATCCAGCCATCAGGGATGCCAGTTGCTGGCACAATCTGCAATGAGTAAAATATTATTACGTATCAACTAATGTAGTAAAACAAAATCATAGAGATCACCAGTTTGTGGAATGATGGTTACCATAACACTCAGTTTTAATCAAACAAAATGATAGGTTTTCCATTGCTAGTGAAGGGACCTAAAGATTTTGAATGCCAAAAGTAATTAAACTTGAGCAAAATGAAATTCCAACTGGAGCTCAAGGAACGAACCTTGCTGTTTGCATCAGGAGCAAACTTGTCGGCAATTACCACATCAGTGGATAACAGGAGATAATCCCTTGGCCTTGCCAAGGAGTGAAGTTGATCTAAAAACAGAACCATGTCAAATTTGCCTTCATTTTCTTTCAATACTACAATAATAGATCCTAATGTTCAGAAAACCAAATTCAAGTATAAATTGAAACCAAAGAATACAAGTTCCGAGCAAACAAATTGAAGAAACACAATCTCTCGAATCAATGTCATGCCTAAACAAACAAAAAATAATAAAAAAAAATCAAGTTCAAAGATTTATGTATCAAACTGAAAACAAAAAGGAATCTGAAATTTACAATAGATCTAAGTGAATCACAACAAACAACAACAGATCTTCACAACTGTAAATTTACAAGAAATAAACTAAAAACGAATGAATCGAAGACATAAAAACATCATCGGTTTCGAACACATTTTAGCTCAAATGAATAATCGATTAATCGATCAAACCTGGATACTGAAATCGTTGTCGAGGAGTCTCTGAGATCAGGGATTGAAATCAACAAACCACTGAGAACAATGAAATTAGGGATTCGATCGCGAGAGAGAGGGATTGAAATCAACAAACCACCGAGAATAATAAAATTAGGGCTTCGATGGAGAGGGAGAGCGAGAGAGACAGTGGTGTGGAGAAGGAAATGAGATCCGGACTATTGAAGTTGAAAGAATGAAATTAAAATAAAATAATATATGAGTTGTGTTTATTGGGGACGAATCAAAATTGTTGGCAAAAAGTCATTGACCTTTTGCAACCAAATAGTTTTGTCTTAAAAATATAATTATATGATTAAATTTTATTTTTTTTAAAATTTTGTCATTTTGTCTCTAAAAGTATAACTTTTACAAACAAATTATTTTTGTTCCTAAAAATTTGTCATTAAAACCTTAATTTCTTGTAGTGGTACTTAAGACTATTAATGTCTAATACAGGAAGGACAATTACATAGTTTGTAGTTGTATTATGCAAGTGGATTGAATACAATAATCAATTAAAAGCTCCCAATGAACCGCCTATATTGAAACAAATGAAATAGAAATATGTTCTAGTATTTGTATTCATCAGAATCACTAAGCCTATTTGGATCATGGATTTGCGCAGGTATTTGGGAAGGAAAAAAAAAAAGATCCCGGTTCTTATCTTATCAAGTGACTTAGCAAGCGCTCTCATGTCATAATTTGTATGTGCATAGGATACCAACTTCAGCCACACAACGTACGCAAAGAGCATTAATGTGACGCCAGATAGAACAGCAGAATCATACCTGCAAGATTTCAAACCACAGCCATGAACTCTTCAATGGCATCACATGAAGTAATGTGCCAGTTTTCTGGCTTGCTACAAACAATATATATTTTCTATTATTTCTAATTTCTCATTCTTTGTTGCACTCCCCTAGCACATCACCAATCTATTGGACAATAAAAGCCCAACAATCTATGCCCAAGATTTGTACGAAAAACCATCCATCCATCTGAGATGCCAAGACATTAACCAAAAAGGCTTGCATGAAGCCATTAAATCAAGCACAACTCACGGTTAAAGCTTCTATCAAATTCTGCTATATATTGATTGTTTGCAAATTAGAAAGGAATGCTCATTCTTGCATTTAATTACATAATCCTGCAATCTTTTGAGGAAAATGATATCCTTACAAAATTTTCAAAAGGAATGTTGTGGTAGCATTTTGGAAAATATGTCACTTTGATGGGTCTTTTGTTTAAAATGATAAAATTAAGACTTCCCACATCATTCTATAAATCTTACATGCAAAATTTTGGTTTGCATATCACTACTCATCTTTTTAAGTCAAACAAATAACAGAGTTCAACTAGAATTTACTGACAAACATTCTTGGGTGAGAGTGACGAAAGACAAAGAATAGCATTGAACCGATTGCACAGCGTCAATCAAAGTTTAATGCAGCAAATTGCTAAGTGTTGTTTGCTTTTGTATTTTGATGCTAGAAATAAAACAAAATACCAAATGAAACTTTACAAGAAAGTAAGTGACAAACTAACATGAGGATCACAAAAACTGGAAACAAAACTGTAGCTGTCGTTATTAATATGTGAAGGCTGGCAACCACCTGCAATATTTTGATTGGAAGTGACCAACTCCAGAGTTCAAGGGCTTAAAACATCAATTCATAATCTCCAGTTATTATGGTAAGTTTACAAGCAACAACCAGAGAAACTCTGCGCATTTATGCAAAGTAGTTAGTGCTGAGGATGTTCTATCACAACAAGTCAGTCAGCCATAATAATGAGAAAAGCTACAAAACAAATGCATTAATGAAAAAACTTAGTGAAATATTGAGTACATTTCAGGATAATGAAAGGATTGTCTATCTAATTGTATAACTTCCAACAGAGAGCTTTCAGAGTTTGTAATCAATAAAAATCAAATAAAAGTTCCTAGACATGTCTACTCCCAACATTCAAAATTTGATAGTCGTTTCCATAATTACTATTCCAATGCGAAGTATTATACTTTTAGTCTTAGTCCATGAGGAAAACATGACAGCAAAACAAAATGGAAAATAATGAAACATGACAGCAGTAGGGAGTGGGGCACTTGTCTGTGGCACCTACATGTCAGGCAGCACAACAATTTCATGCATCTCACATGAAAATCTCAAATAATTTTTCAAAAGTGAAAAAGGGAGCAAGCACCAAAGCCATGTACTAGGAAAACAACAGGCCAAAGAAAAAAGAAAGAAAAATAATATATTCAAAAAGCATGGACCTGCTATTCAACCTTATTTATGCTACCATGATTCAATATAAACACTTCTACATTTTCTAGAGGCTAAGCCCCCATATAAGAAGCCAGGTTTGGCAACAGACATTATAATATGAGTCATATGACTGAGATTAATTATCCCAATTAAAGACCAACTCGTGGAGAATTTCATTCCAATATTTTATCAAGTTCCATATGATTCACAGAACAAGCATTACTTTTTGATTAATCTAAATAACCATTCTAGTTGACTAAACAGAACCGAACAAAAAAACAAAGTACACCCAGTTTAATCCCCCTTAGATGGGGGTCTAGGAGGGGTAAATTGAGTACAGACCTAACTTTTGGCATTATTATATATAAAGTGGCTACCCTCATGTTTGAACCCCCAACATAAGAACTTGAAACCTAACTCTAGCCATTCCTTTCAAACACAAATTGAGCACTTTTGAGGTAAAAAAGACATAATATACCATATCTGAACAGTGGTACACAGATCTCAACTTGTACATAAACCAAACAATTTGCATCAATTCACAGTTTTCTGCTCTCAAGGCAAAGTAAGGCCTGATCGTCTCATAAAATTGGATGCTTTGGATAATTGATCAAGACCTAAGTCATCAATGCCAATCAACAAACAGCTATCATAGTTTGCAATTTCTTGTAATAGGTTGCTTTGAGTAGTAATAGAACACATCTAAGTATTTAAGACCTTGCTTGTCCTTTTATGATTAAGCTCTCAAAACAATTGTAATAGTTAAGTACACTTAGAAGCAGTATACCAAGTTGAAATCACTATGCCATCTCATGAAGTAAAACTATACAAGGAAGTCTAGAAACAAATATAAAGAACAAGTTTCAAAGTTAGAGTTAGGCAGAGTTAATTCGATGTTTCAGTAACTGAGAAACAAAATAACATAAGAAAATTTGAAGCACCTAAAAAAAGAAGATCTAAGACCCAATGCTATCACAATCACTACTCTTTACCTCCTCAAACTAATTGCTACCAATTCAAGCAGGTTAATATGACTTTAACGTCATGAACTACATTACAAAATTATAATTCAATATGACAACTTTCTGAACTAAACTACATTCATTTTACCACCAAAATAATTCAGTTTGTAGACCGTGTTCTAGACATTTTGTAATGTGAAATATTTAATTCAAAATGCATTAGTATTGTTTCACAATATTATATTGTAAAACTAATAAACAAAATTTAAAGTAGTTCTACAGGTTGCAACAACTCCCAAGTTATGCACTTTGGAATTAATCTTCCCCATTTGACAAAGGCACCATTATAGTTTTTTTTTTTGGTAACTACTTTACATATTCTCCATTTTCAATTTCCTTATATTTTATCCACTTCAAATGTCATACCCCTCACAAGGAACATACACCAAGAAAAAACATTCATTCCTTTGACATACTTCCCTCCAAAGTTATCTGTATCATAACCTATCATCCCTATATCATCTTTCACTCTTACCAATTTACCTTGTTGCACTTAAAAATATCCAATCTTGAAGCCTTCAATGAATCCCAACAACCCCATATCTCACTATATAATTGTATGAATGTCAATGGAGAGAACCACAAAAGATGTACATTTCGG